GGAGCACAGGCTCCGGACGCGCAGGCTCAGCGGCCATGGCTCACGGGCCCAGCCGCTCCGCGGCACGTGGGATCTTCCCGGACCGGGGCACGAACCCGTGTCCCCTGCATCGGCAGGTGGACTCTCAACCACTGCGCCACCAGGGAAGCCCCTAGACTACAAGCTTTTTGAGAGCAGGGTCTTTTCTTAGATTTCTTTTGTGCCCTGGCCACTCCCCGTTCTGTTCTGCCTAGTCCCTAGACAGTGCTGAGATTGTGGAAAGCAGTGACTTGGTCCCTGGTGACCTTGTCAATTTCTCTTGCTGTGAAACAGCAGCTTCCTTTCCACTTTTCCCGCAGCCAGATGGAAGTCTCATTACCTCCGAAGTTTCATATGCCTTATGCTTTCCAGAGGTGCTGTGATGTCTAGAAAACACATTCACGATAGCCTGTCTAAGCAACAGAAAACTCATTCACTCATTAACATACTGTGACAGGTGGCCATTGAGGAGAACACTAGAATATACATACTATTAAAGATTATTCAGGTGGACAATCTTACAAACACTACTTGGAACATTTTCTCCAACCTTACTGCCTAGCTAGCTGTCATCTGGGAAAGAATGCCCTTCAATTAAGGCTGATTTGAACCTCCTTGGAACTGACAAGATAGTCTGTGTTTCAGAGGTATGCTTCTAGTATACAAATGCAAATGGTTGGCCCCTTTGGTGGGAAATGAACACTTCACGAGCGCCCAACCAGACACGGTGTCATGCCCAAAATGGCAACTCTTTCTAGAAAACTCCAGTCTCTGTGGCCACATTACATTGAGTCTGGTTTCAGAATCAAATCTTCCACTTCGTGGGTTTTGGGAAGAGGCTGCCGGTATGTAGAAGCGGGAGGCAGACACACTCAGAGAACTGGGTCTTAATCTCTTAGACGATACATAAATTGGGGGAAGAGCAGAGGACTCCCTCCTCTTGACTGTAAGACTGAAAATGCTCATCTGCTGCTGTTCAAATGTGACTTCCTTCCTAGGATCAGTGAGTGACCTTGAACGGCTCTGGGCTGATGTGAGAGGTTCTAGATACTGATCAGAAACCATTTTCAAGACAGTGTTGCCTGCGTGGAAGAGCTTACCTGCCCGTGCCCAAGGCATGAGTATTTTTTTTGTTTTTTTTGCAGTATGCGGGCCTCTCACTGCTGCGGCCTCTCCCGTTGCGGGGCACAGGCTCCGGACGCGCAGGCTCAGCGGCCATGGCTCACGGGCCCAGCCGCTCCGTGGCATGCGGGATCCTCCCGGACCGGGGCACGAACCCGTGTACCCTGCATCGGCAGGCGGACTCTCAACCACTGCGCCACCAGGGAAAACCCCCCAAGGCATGAGTTTTGACTCAGCAAAGCTTCAAGAAGCCATCTCCTCGGACCACCACAGCTCTGCCTCCCTCTGAATGCAACTTTCTGACTTGGTCACATATTTCTGATACAAGAAAGCCGAGCGAATGAGAGTGGTTTAGAAGAGGCAGAGGAGAAAAAGTAATATGCAAATATCATTCTCAAGAGCAGAAATAGTATGTAACTGGAAAATGGCCTGTTTGGGGATACACAGTTTTAGGGACCCATGTGCAATTTACATGCCCAGACTAATTTAAATCAGTTCCTGTCTCCCCTTCCATTTCTGATCATTCATATACCCAGCTGTGGCCTTTGGGGAAATCCTAAGAAAAACGGCTCTGTTACAGGCTGGACTGAGCCTGCTTTCCTTCTTCCCGTCAGCACAGGGGAAGGCAGAATCTAAATGTTATCTTAACAACAGTCGTGGTAACAGTGATGCTGTCTGATCTCAAGGAAACTGTGTTGTGCTAAGTGGAATTTTTAAAAAGCTCTTTCACCAGAGTCAGCAAACCTCCTGTGTTGCGAAGGCCAGGCCGAGTCCCTGCTATAACGCAGCATCCCCCTGACACCTGGTTCGTTTCTGATTAACCAGAGCAGGTGCCCCAGGCCGCTGTGCAGGAGAACCTCAGCGTCGGGGTCTGGCGGCAGCTCCAGGATTATGAGCCTTCTGGCAGTCGGTGCAGGTACAAGGCCCTGGTGGATACTTAGAGGGCAAACCTCTCATTATTTTGTTTTCTGCTTAAAGCCCCAAGGATATGGAACTCCAGGATATAGCAGTAATTTGCTCTCTGGATTAAAAAGTCTAAGTATCCTCTCAGCCTCGCTGGGATAGAAAGAATATTCGGTCCAATCCCTGGCACCCAGGAGTTTTAGTCAGAACACGTTTTGACATATTTTCAGGCATGAGGAAAGAATCTGACAGCTCCACTGAGCATTCTGTCCAGGAGGTGAAGGGCTGTCTGGGAGAGACCGAGACCCTGTATATTTCCTCTGTGAGGGAAATACCTTCTTTATTATCTTCTAAAATAAAGGTATCAGTCTGAGATGAAATGGAATTCCCCTTGACCGAATCCCTTCCGGAACGGCCCATCATCTAAGGACCAGAGACCAGGTGTGTGAATTCTCTCCTTACTGAGGGAGACCACACAGATCTCACCCGAGCGAGTGAATGATGGACACCGTCCTGCGGGGAAGAATAGAACAAGAGCTCCTACCCATCAAATAATCAATTATACCTGGACGTGCACGCGCACACACACCGTATGCAACTCACACGTGCACGCGCATTTCATAGACGTACAGATCGTTAACCTGCACTGATGGGCCAGAGGAGACAGGAGCCCTACAATTCTTAGACGAATGATGAGTGGATTCCTTGGCCATTTCAGCTCATACTGAAACAACCACTGCTTCTTCACAAAGGCTTCCCACTTGGGATTTCCAGAAAGGGAAGGAAAGCAATGTCAACAATACAAGGGAAGGATAATAGCAACAATAGGAATCATTTCTTGAGGGCTTACTCTATGCCAAGTACAGTGGTGCAAGTGGCCTTTCATTTAATCCTCCAGGCAAAGGTAGTGGTGATATTATGAAGAATGGTGTTGGAGAAGGAAAAACAAAGTAGGCCTTCAAAGCTTTCTTTCAACAAAGTAACATCGTATCACTCCTCATTTCATCTGAGTTCAAAGGACCGTTTTCTGTCACCCTCCCCTCCCCCCATGGAAGTGAGGGGAGGCCACAGGGAAGGCAATAACATGATTCTGAACGTCAAGACTCTTCCAGTCTCCTCCTTCCATCTCACTCTGTATGGTCTACCCTGTCACCAGCTGCAGGAGAATAAGAGGGCATGGATCTCTATGCCTGAAAAACAATTTTTGTTCCAGATGACTTCTCTCAAAGCTGAAGTATAAGACCCATTAGAAAGGTCAAGCGCGAGCAATCCCACTACTGGGCATGTACCCTGAGAAAGCCATAATTCACAAAGAGTCATGTACCAAAATGTTCATTGCAGCTCTATTTACAATAGCCCGGAGATGGAAACAACCTAAGTGTCCACTGACAGATGAATGGATAAAAAAGACGTGGCACCTATATACAATGGAATATTACTCAGCCATAAAAAGAAACGACATTGAGCTATTTCTAATGAGGTGGATAGACCTAGAGTCTGTCATACAGAGTGAAGTAAGTCAGAAAGAGAGAGACAAATACCGTATGCTAACACATATATATGGAATTTAAGAAAAAAAAATGTCATGAAGAATCTAGGGGTAAGACAGGAATAAAGACACAGACCTACTAGAGCATGGACTTGAGGATATGGGGAGGGGGAAGGGTAAGCTGTGACAAAGCGAGAGAGAGGCATGGACATACATACACTACCAAACGTAAGGTAGATAGCTAGTGGGAAGCAGCCGCATAGCACAGGGAGATCAGCTCGGTGCTTTGTGACCACCTGGAGGGGTGGGATAGGGAGGGTGGGAGGGAGGGAGACGCAAGAGGGAAGAGATATGGGAACATATGTATATGTATAACTGATTCACTTTGTTATAAAGCAGAAACTAACATACCACTGTAAAGCAATTATACTCCAATAAAGTTGTAAAAAAAAAAAAAAAAGAAAAAGGTCAGGCGGTTGTGGGATTGTGAATTGGTTAAGATCATCTGAATCAAAATTAGATGACAGTGTAGCAGTGTAATCGATACTGACCCCTGAAGATTCAGAATGACTGTATGTGTGTGTATTCAGGTCAGCGAGCTGTGGGCCTGGTCCTGCACATCCCAGGCGCTTTGCTGTGCTCTATGGAAGAGCTTCTTACTTCCATTTTCCTTCTCAGCAGGACACTTAGCAAACTGCCCAGTGACAGGCCTAGCATCTCTGTCCCCTTCCAGGGCTCCCCAAGGCAGTACTGGTTAATGCCATCACTTGATTTTCACAGAGGCCCCTCTCACTATTCACTGGAATTTGATACATAAATTGAGCTCCTTCTGTCCCTTCTCTTTCGGCGCACAAACACCCCAGTGGGCTAGGAGGGTAGCTGGTCTGCAGAGGAGAAAAACTAGCCTCACGGAAATGAGGAGTGATGTCCTGACCCTGGGTATGACCCTCGAGGGGCACAGCTGAGAGGAACTTTTGTAGTCTTTTTTTTTTTTTTTTCCATTTGGAGAATGATGCTAAAAAACCACCATTAATACAGTTTTCTAGAGAGTCATATCAGAGTTTTATGTTATTTGAGGTGATTTTTCCTCTATTGTGTGGAGCCCTTCACATAGAATCCCGTGAGAATATGGTCTAAGGATAGTGCGCCATCAGTCGCCCCGACATGATTTCTCCATTGTTGTGGGAACTTTCAGGCCAACCTGCACTTTTAAATCCCTCGTATGCTTTTCAAAGGAATTTGGCATGTGCTGAAAGTAACTGTTATTTTCGATAACTGCTTTTCTTTCTACAAAGACAAAAGCAAGTGAAAAGAAGACAACTCTCTACCGGAAACTGAGTTCTTGTGAAGAAGTACAGATCAACCTCCATACGCTATTACATCCGTAACGCAGCTCACGCGGCTTCGGCCTGCAGCCAGCGATCAACACGCTACATTTTAGCAATGCAAGTTGAGAAAAAGGATTTACCTTGGAGTCCAGCTGCTGCATGTATGACCAGAGATATTCTATATTGGCTCCAAAAGGGTGGACGTGAAGAAACGTTGATATGATGCCTGAATTAAAAAGACAAACACTGAACATTATTGAGAGGCAAATAAAAGTCTCAGGTGAATAACGTCATCTGACCCCAGGGACAGTTTTGTCAGGCTGAGTCATGGTCTTGCCATTTCTAACGGCTCTCGGCAAACATTCAATAACTGCACATTTTGAAGACGGTAATGGTAACACGGCCAACAGAACACTGTCTCCTGGAACGACAGTAGTTGGAAAAGCGAGACTCTAAGAAAACACATGGATGAATGAAGGTATTTCTAAACAAAGACTCCTGGAAGCATTTCAACTACCAATTTTATGCTTGATTTGTCAATATAAAATTGTAGTTATTGGAAGGATAAAATGATCCCTTTTCTTTCCCTCGCTAGACTCTGCAGTAGGAAAACGGCTCCTACAGCTGTGTCAAATTCCCCTGATAATTACAGCTGCTAGTTACAAAGAGTATTTAATCCCTATTTCCCCTCACTGCCACTGAGGGAAGCACAAATCCTTGCCGTCTCCCCCTGGATCTCGCTGTTGTTTTAAGGGAGCCAGCCTGCTCTCTCCTTCTGGCTGCTGTAATTTACAAGATCATTTTAAAAGGCCCAGGAATGGACGGTTTGGCTGGAGTCTGATTATAAATCAGAGGGCTTTTCCATCGTGAAATTCAACTGTCAACATTGTACTGACGGATGAAAAGCTGAATGGTAGCGTCGGGGCTGACGTAAAAGCATTACCCTCCTACCATCCCTGCTCTTATAACCAGAATCAAAATGGTGAAAATGAGGACGTCAACTCCATAGGCTGTATCCTTCTATGTGTTAAGAAACTGGGTTCCGACGGACACTTCTGGCTTCTCTCTGAAACAGGCTTTGAGATGAATCAAATTTGAGGATAAGGCCTCAACGTTCTGTTTATTGTGATGCTTTGGTGCTCGAAAGCCAAAGGTCAGAGGCTTCAGACCCACAGGGCAAGCATAGGCCGAGCACATCGTTCTGCACTACGTCATGCTATGAATTGCAGGGTGGCCTTGGATTGACCTGGGATAGGGTCTCACGGCCCCTGATCTCTGGTGTGATGCCTGCGATGCCCTGGATGAGTGTCAGTTTCTAAAGAAAAGTTCTCAGTTTATCCTTAGGCTGAGAGCAGAGAACCAGAGCCTACACAAGTACTTTCGAGACCTAGCCTCAGAACACTGCTTTTATGTGGGTTCTCTTGGTGGACAGTGAAATGAAGAACACAGAGACGATTAGTTACATTTCTCCATAACGTTAAAACCCCAGTCTTCAGAGATTGACCTTTTCCCTGGAATATAAAGAACTACTGTTTTATTCTGAGATTATGTTCTTTGTTTTTTGTTAAAATGTCCTTCTCTTATGAAATAATGGTGATGACAGAAGGTGACAATGGTAGTTTTAATCTCTTTAAGTGGTAAATAGCCATTTTTAATATACGTAAGTGGGATTGTTTTGTCCCCCTCCTACCACTTTGTTAATTTATGTTTTAACTGTATAGACCTGGCAACTACTTCCCTGTGTCTGAAATTCTCAAATCTCGTGAGGTGGCACTATAAGTAACTGCGTTACCAGTAAGAGTTAAAGTACAGAATCCCATGAATGATTTACTTAGAAAATAAATTAGAATAGAAGTATTTAAAAAAATAACATTTCCATTTGCATTCCTTAAGTGGGAGAGAGGGGGCAGAATTCTTATGGGGAATTGATTTTTTTTTTTTTTTTTTTGGCCTCGCCATGCTGCGTGGCTTGTGGGATCTTAGTTCCCCGACCAGGGATTCCACCTGGGCCCTCAGGAGTGAAAGCACCGGGTCCTAACCGCTGGACTGCCAGGGAATTCCCAAGGGGAACTGCTTCTATTTCAGGATGGTGAGTGGGGCTTTCCCTGCTGTCCCAGGCCGAGGACAAGTGGTGCTATGTCTACTGCTTTCCACAGAGAGCCTCCAACAAACGGTAGGCAGACCCCTGCCCACTATGAGGAGGAAAGGAGGACGGGGAAGGGAGGAGTAGTCAGTGCTGGCTGGCTTTGTGAGAAGGCAAGGGTGTTCCCAGTGAGAAGCTTTTCTCTTCTCTTAAATGCGATGCTCCCAGGGAGCGCCTCAAGAGAGCGGCTTATAGAGACTGGGGAGGGGGGGCCCTGCAAGGCAGCGAAGCACATTCCTTTCCTTGGCTGGACTTCCGCTTAGGCAGCAGACTGACTAATCTGGCTTTGTGTCAGCCGAGCACAGGGAGGCGGTGGGGTGCTGTAGCCTTTGGGTGACAAGAATGTGTGAGCTTTTCCCATGGGACAAGGGGGTATCTCAGAAGGTAGACGGGCTTGAGCAGCCTTACAAGTATCCCAGGGCCCCAGCAAATAGAGAAAAACATTTTTTATGTTAATATCCCTACAGGACAAAGAATCATCAACATCTCCTGGCTAACCTGCAGCCTCTCCTATAAATGCCCCTGGGAGTGTGACAGGAAGTTAGTTAAGTGCCTCCAATAGAATGAATAGGATGGTTCAGAAGAGGATGGGGGTGGGGGCTATGGGGGAGTGGCTGACAACTCTTTTTTTTTTGCCGTAGGTAGGCCTCTTGGGGCCTCTCCCGTTGCGGAGCACAGCCTCCGGACGCGCAGGCTCAGCGGCCATGGCTCACGGGCCCAGCCGCTCCGCGGCATGTGGGATCTTCCCGGACCGGGGCACGAACCCGTGTCCCCTGCATCGGCAGGCGGACTCTCAACCACTGCACCACCAGGGAAGCCCAGACAACTCTTGACCTAAGAAGATGAAGGAGGAAATTCAGGGATACCAGAAGTGGGAGGACCTGGGGTGGCCGCTTTTCTTGCCTTTGTGATGATGGCCTCCCTCACTGTTTACTGTCCCACAGCCCTAATCTTGGGTCTGTAACCGCAAGGAACTCTGCCCTTAGACAGTATTTGTGTGTTCTGGTTCAGTAGCAGGAATATAGTATACAGTTACAATAAATGTGTGTTGAATGAATTTATCCTCTAGAACTGAGAATGGCCAGTGTACTTCTTTAAAATTTCTACTGTTCTATTATTGACAAATCAGGAGAAATAAGAACCTTAAAAATTGCTACCCGTACTAACCAAGGATGTAGTACTCTTTCAAATACCAGGTAACTTCGAGGAATTATTCATCAGTGATTCCTGCCCTTAACTCATCCTGTTATGAATTCAGGACAGAGTAACTTGGATATTTTGGGCATGGAAACTTTTTATTGAAACTATGTTGCTCATAAAGCTAAGGGGAAAATGCACATGTGGTTTCTATATATCTTTCTAAAATCAGATGAGAAATCCTAATCCGGACATGAGTATTTTTCCCTAGGAGAGTATTTAGAACCATCTTGGTGGGAGCTGATATTAACAAGCCATTGGCTTTTCCTTATAAAAGTTGAGCAGTTGCCACTAAAGACATGTGGGGTCAAAGCAGGTAGTTAAATAAAGGTTTTCCAAGCTCTTCCTCTGGATGGCAACCAAGTTCTTCAGTATCGCTAGAGAGGCAGTGGAAATGGGAACACCCTTAGTCATCCTCCTCCAAGTACTGCACCCCTCCTCCCTGCCTTGATCCTGCCCATGCCAGTGGCATCACAGAAGCATCAGTCACGGCGTCTGAGAAAATGTAGTTTCTAGGCCCGGGCTCTGGATCAGATTCGCTTCGGGGAAGCTTCCTAAACAATCAAACTAAAGTCTCTGCTTAAGCTCCTTTAAAGGAACTGGGATGTTTCCTGAGAATGGGGGGGGAAAAAAAAAAAAAGGATAGTTGTAACTCAAAATCCAATGAAAAATGCTACAAACCCAGAATTGGAAACTATTTATGGTTCTCTGGAAGACCATAAACACTGTAAAGGCTGGGTAAAAGGAACACTAGGAACTGAGGGTGGAGAACTCAGCCACTACTGAACGGGTGGGTCTCCAAAGGGATGACTCAAGAATTGGTCTTGGCTGGTCCCATGGAGAGGCGAGGTCTCCACATTGAAGAATGGGCTTCCCAACAGTGGAAAATACAACTGTAAGTAGCTAATTTAAGAAAATAAAGAAGAATAGAGGAGGCTGTCAGTACTCTTGAGTTTCCTGCACAGTTCAGGGCCTGAAACACTACTTTAGAAAGATACACAAACCAGCTCCAGACAGCATGTGGCAAATCCCTCATTAGGAAGAGGCCCATTTAAACAAGCACATAAAGGCATTCTGAGCTTTTCCCGCCAACATCATCTAGTTTATTCTCATGTTTAGATGTCACCGAGACCAAGGGAGTGACATTTAAATTAACCAAGTAGTGCTAGATTTTTACTGATTCATTTCCTTAGCAGCAATTAGATGCCAAGGTCCTAGGGACACAGCATTGCCCAGACCGACAAGGTTCCTGCTCTTGGAGAACTTATATTCTAGGTAAGCAACACAGACGATAAATGCAAGGATTAAAAGAGGAGATATGTTCAGAGAGTGGTGGGCATATTGCAGAAAACAAAACAGGTAATAGGACAGGAGTGGGGAGTATCCTCAAGCTTGGTGGAGGGCTGCTTTATAGGAGGTCAAGGAAGGTGAATTTGTCCGTGTGTCAGATGAAGAGGAGTCAGCCACAGAGAGCCTGGGGGAAGGTGACTCAGGTACAGGCACCAGCGAGTGCAAAGGACCTGAGGTGGAAATGGGGTGGCAGGAACAAACTTGGCTTCAGAGTGGTGCAGCATGCATTTAGAGGTAGGTGGGGAGCCAGATCACGTAGGGTCCCAGTTTAAGGGGGCTGGATTAAGCTCTAAACATAGCAGGAAACCAATGGAAGGGTTCTAAGCAGGGGCATGATATGAGCTGAATTATGTTTTCAAATTTTCATTCAAGCTGCTGTATGGTGAATAGACAAAAGGGAAACTGGGAAACCAATTAGAAGTGTTTGCAACAACCAATGGATCACTGAAGAAATCAAAGAGGAAATAAAAATATACCTAGAGAGAAATGACAATGAAAACACCACGATCCAAAACCTATGGGACACAGCAAAAGCA